CAAAATAAACTCACCATGGCCTGTTTTCCGTGCAGAAAAGTATAAAACGGTTATAGTTAACCTGCTGTAAGTTTTAGGCACATGCTGGTGCAAAAAGTAACCAAATTTGTCCTGTCCCATAGCCGAAATATGGCTGAAATATTGCCGACTCGGCGTTAAACAATAATAATCAATCAATCCTGTCCCGTAACTCTATGTCTTGCACTTTGGACAGCTCTGCCGGGAATGACGTACAAGCTATTGCATTTACATATAAGGTAGTGACCAGAGAATTTAAAAAATATTGACCGTGTACGAGACTGTTGATACCCTTGTTTCATCGCTTCGTTTGTCTGTAGCTTGCTGTCAGTCATTTTGGATAATATTCATAAGTAGAACATACTCTTGCGTATCGAATCAATTGGGAGACATAAACTCAATACCCAGGTGATAGAGTATATTGCTACAGAAGGTCTGTTGAGGATATTATAGCTGAAACCATCACGTTTATCATAAAGTTTAGTTGTATTTTGCCATCATTGTCTTTCTCTATTGACACATCCAAATATAAAAATGATGTAAGACTGTGGTGTCTTTCATTTCGAAGTCTATGGGGTATAACAAATCAATGAATGAATGCAAATGAATATTGCTAATCGGTGAAGCAATTTATCCAAATGTCGCATTTAATGCCACAATAACAGACTACAAAGTACTTTTTCCCATGGCACCTGATCCCACCTCCGATGTTTTGGAGGTTGGTGTTGCTTTGCTCCTATTTTATATTCTTTAATGGACTTTTGAACTTGAATACTGTTCGTTATCTTCATATATTTCATGTAAAGGTTTTTGAATAAATTATGCCTCATAAGAATACAAAAACAGTTGCTATGTTAAACTCGGTGTCTTTTCAATAAATAACTTAGTGCCATCCTGATACCTGAACCATTATGTGCTGCCATGAATATTCACTATTTTTGAATCGGGGTGTAAGTAATATATAATAATGAAATTTAGTTAATAATGAGTGGAAAAAATTTTCAGTATATCTCTAAGAACCCATAAATGTAAGGGTTTCTAAGCATGTGACAAATTATATCAATTGAGGCAAACATCAAATTCTTTTAGGCAACTTGAAGTGTTTCTACTTTCATAAAATGATTTTATCGACATAACATAAGCTCCAGCGTTTGTTATCCATGATCTTAGACACTTGAAAATTTCAGCGGCATTGTAAATGTGTAAATAATTAAAAAAAAAAAAACTTCTTGCATCATAGGAATTATCATCATGATGATTAAAATGTTACTATATTATTCCACCATTTACATGTACGGTCGGATTGATTTGAGTAAAACAAAGGGAGAAGAAAAGAATTTGCAGAATTGATTTATATAATATAACATTAAAATCAAATTTTAGTTATCAGAACTTGAAAGTAATTTTTCTTCTGAAAATTAATTTCTGATATCGAAGTTAAATTACATTTTACAATAAGCTCGAATTTTCTGTATCATATATATTCTTATTCACCTTTTTTTTTTAACTTTGAGTTAGCATAAATATTCAGAAAAAAAAAACAAAACATTACTATTAATATTTAGACATTTTACATATACATTTCACACAGACAAAGCTATTGTGACATAGCATAAAAGACGGATCCCTGGAAATTCCAGAGGTGGGAAGATGCCAAGGAGGATTAAGCATCCCCTGTCAACCGGTCACACCAAAGAATGCTCGATTACACAGAGTCTGCCACATTTGCTTCATATTTGGTTGTTTTGCTGACTATAGTCGAACGAGAATGACCAACTAACAACTAATTATATGTCAAACGAAATAATTTCAGTTTTTCCATCGTTAACGTTCCTTATTCATGAAGTAATATTCTCCAATAAACAGCATATTATGTCTCCCAACTTATTTGATACTCAAGAACAAATTCTGAGTACGATCAATTCTTAAACAAAAGCTGGATACTGACAGATAAGTTGATGTTACAGGGATTCCAACAGCCTCGTTTAAAGTCAGTATTTCGTAAATCCGCCGAAATATGGCTGAAATATTGCCGACTCGGCGTTGAACAATAACAATCAATCAATCGTAAATTCAATGATTGTTTTCATGACCTTTTTAACAAATATGACCTATCACTGGTTCGTATGATGGCTGACTGTGTTTCATACCTATTGTGAACCATTGTTTTTATACTATATTTGGCAACGGAATGTTCAGTCTACCTAATTAATACATAGGGCTCACAGCGGGATTGACCGGTCAATAGGGGATGCTTACTCCTCCAAGGCACCTGATCCCACAAGAATTTCCGGAGGTCCGTGTTTTATGCCCTCTTCACAGATTTGAATAATAATAATAATAAAATTTAAAAAATGGGTATCTTAAAATACTTTAAAACATAAACTTCCGCATGTAGAGCAGATTCAATTTTGTTCAAATCATGGCCCCTGGGGATAATTTAGGGCAACAACAAGTACATCGAAGTTATACATTAGAGTATATTGGAAAGCAATTTGTTAAAGTATTTCTCTCAAGAACAGCAGGTCCATAATTAGTCATATGAATATGCAAGCATCTACAGTTGGTGTACATTCATTTTTTTTTCAAATTATCCCCCCCCTCCCCGAGAGTAAGGGTTGAGCCACATTAGGGGATCAAAATTTTAAAGGAACAAAATATGTGGAGATAAATAACAGCATTCGAGCTCAAAAGTCCATTAAACATTACAAAATAGGAGTAGAGCAAACACGGACCTCTAAGACATCAGAGGTGGGATCAGGTGCCTTGGAGGAGTGAGCATCCCCTGCCGACCGGCTCCTTGTCATGATCGGTAAATAACGGAAAAATCCATTGTCAAATCAGTGTGTAAATAATGGCCTAACAATTAGTATGAAAAAAGTCAGTCAGCATTTGACTTCATGAAAGATTGTATTTGCTGACAAGGTCATTGAATCGACCATAGAACTTTAATGATGACTTTAAACGAGACTGCTGATATTCTTGTTTCATCAACTTGTTTGTCAATAGTTTACCTCGTTTTAGAAATTGTTCATACGTAGAGCATGCTCTTGCGTATCGAATCAACTGAGAGATGTAAACCCCATATGCAGGTGATGACGTTATCTTGCTGCATAAGTAAGGGAAGCTGACGATTGAAAAGTTAAAGTCATCACGTTTGTCATAAAGTTTTGTTGTTAGATTACCATTAACGTCTTTTTCTAATAAAATATCCAAATATGAAACAGATCTGTCAGACTCTGTGGTATCTTTTATCTCAAGCTCACCGGGATATATCGTGTCGACATAAGAATGGAAATAACCATGATTGTTAATTGACAATACGTCGTCGATATATCTAAATGTCGAGTAGAAGGTCACAGCAAGTATTTCTTCTTTTCACGTAAAAGATTTTGAACAAATTCTGCTTCATATGAATACAAAAATAGGTCTGCTAATAACGGGGCGCAATTGGTACCCATGGAAATTCCAATAGTTTGTTGGAAGACCTGGTCTCCAAAAACCACATAGATATTGTCAATCAGAAACTTGAGCATCTTTTTAATGTGAACATCAGAGTACTTGTGTGGACAATCAGATTGTTTTTTAACAAAGCAATTTTGCAAATGACCAACGACAAAATAAATAAATTTACGAGTTCCATTTTTATTGAAAAAGCAGCTGTCAATAATGTCAAAAGGTCTGGATTTATCGTGGGGAATGGTTGTATATAAAGCTGAAAAGTCGCAAGTTTTTATGTTGTTGATTTTGGTAAAATATATGATTTTTTCTCAAGAACAGCAGGAGCACATAACATCACATTAATATGCAAAGATTCCTGTTCGTAGGGTAGGGCTACAGCGAATCAGATTTACAAGGGAATACGGAGGAACAAATCTACTACGAGTAGCAGGCCAAGGTTTTAGGGATTCTTTTTTTCTTCATATTTATGTATCCTGCGGATGAGGTGGATCTAAAATTGAAAATAAAATAAAATAAAATACAAACAGGAAACAGGGAAAAAAAACATTCACCTTCTCCAGAGCAGAAGGGGAATGTTTCTTTATATATACTGATTGCACTCAAAAGAAGTGAGGATTAATGTTTGATTTCATCATAATCATCATAATTACGAAATAATAATAAAAATACATATTGCATGATACAGTCATGTGTTCATCAGGTGCTCGATGGTAATACGATGTATCTTACCTACAAGCTCAATGGCCTTTAAGCTTTTTAAACACTCTATTCTTAAGAAGTGCTTAATTTTCGAGTAATTAAATGCATTATGCAGACAAGAACCTTCTCTTTAAAAAAAATCTTATTCGAACAAGTTCATCTAAATTAGAAATGTTTGTTTTGAAATCAACATATTCTTCAATTGTAATTAGTTTATCATTCCTTATTGTAGCTTCTTTACTAAAAATTAAGTTATTTTTTAAACATTTCCTAATTTGAAAGAAAGGAAAGTCCTAACCTTGAAACATTCATATATCTGGCTGTAGGCGTGGAATTCGTGTAAGATACACGTAATCAAATGAACTTGTTAAGTCTACCCGAAAGCAGGTAATCTGCATTTTAAGTACATTTGAATTCAACACTTATGATTAAAATTAAATCATTTTCACGGCTTACTGAAAATTTATAATTGTAGATAATTAACCGATATTTATAAACATCTGTACACAGAAGATCAATAGAAATCGGAGACTTTTTCTCCTGCGTCTAAGCCTCTTACAATAAAGATTTAAATTGCATTTAAACCCAGACATAGAGTTTATTATATACTAGATATCGAACCACAAAACAACATTAATCTGCAGGTTTTGTCGCAAATTATCGACTTTAAAAAGATAAAAGGTTAAAAATTCGGTTTTCCTTTTTTCACCGCAGAACCTCGGGCTTGAATTAAAGTTCTTTAATGAGTGGGGAACAAAATGATAAATACTGAAACGTGTGGCCCTGTATAGCACTGTGTACCATTTCAATTGAAGAAATTGGAAAGTAAATTCAAATTATCGAGCACGGCTTATTGTTATCTTTTTCTACTACGTCACGGGTTCTCGTTTTGGACCGGGTGTTGGGAATGCAAGTGAATTTGAAAATACGTGCCAGGTAGATATAAATGAAATAGGTACAAAGGTACATTGAGAATGGAAATTTGGGTCTGACGGGAAAGGTGAACCAAGGTCCTGGCAGGTGTATCGATTTTTTCTCGGGTGTTGTCAAATCTGAAATCTGTCAGAAATATTTACTCTTCGACAAGAAGTGCTCAATTCTGAGGCAAGTTTTTCGCCAAGGAGAAAACATGAGGACACTTTTACCTGTACAAGATTACTAGGTAAGTAAATTTATTTTCTGAATAATTTAATCAAATAAGCAATATAAATACAATTTATATTAACTTAAGAGATAAGATTATGCGATTGAAATTCTAAATAAACGTACAATTGATGCATTTTTTAATAAAATATGTGGTCGCAATTTAGTGTATAATTCTTAGATTTTTTTCAAACAGGTTTTCCTTTCATTCTAAATGTTACGTACATACTAAATTCAAATCTTTGTAAGTCAATACGGTTTTACATGTACGCAGGGTTGTCAGAATATAAGGAATACATGACGATTCTTAATTATGTCTAAGACGTTATTAATTTTTTCAAATATATGTTTATCCCTCGGAAAAAAAAAAAAAACAAACAAACAAACAAACAAAAAAAAAAAAAAAAAAAAAAAAAACAATAGTTAAAAGTTAAGACATTGAAGAATGTGAAGTCAAAATTGAGCAAATAACTAGTTTGTTGCATTATCAATTTACACGGTGCATAGATAAACACTGTTCCTCGCCATGGATATCTAGACAGGATTTAATTCACTTCATTTTCTCTAAGGGTTGGGATAAAACTGTATACATTTTAAGATTTTATCACACAAGCCCGGCAATTTATTGTTATGTTAAACCAGAAACCTTAATGATGGTGACAAGATTTTGGTTAACCGAGTTATTCATTATTTTCATGATTATCTTCCAAATACGAAATCTAACGCCATAATGGTTTATACAACCTCGGATTGGAGTTGGCAATACATTTTGAGATCTAAAGTGCAGTTTTTAAATGGGTTAAGCCACCCTTTGTGGGTTTCTCCAGTTCAACTTTACAGTAACAGCGATCCAATTTTCAACGTCTTTAGAGAATAGACGGTCATAAATATATTTGAACAACACATTTCTTAAGAAAGATAATGTGTTACCGGGATTCGCGTAAAATGGGCCCTTCTCCACGAGATTGTTCCGTTACTTTGCCAAAATGAATGATACTATTTGGCGGAGATAAGTCAGATTTAAACCTTACCTCTTTACTGTGTTTACACCGTCTTTCACATCGATGTTCGTATTTACTCTGTAAGTATTGAATTAACTTTTCCTGGGCAGCAAATAATTAGTACAGCAAAATTGATCTCATTATTTCTATTTCTTTCTTTTGTGAAGTAAAACTCAAAAGTTGAGAGGTAAAACGAAACCTTTTCAATACAGTGTGTTTATAGTTTAAAATAGATTTTTTTCTGTATATCAAGCTTAAAGAAAATCTCACCAAATGAAATTACATTGTACATGTAGTTCCAAAATTCCAAATTAAGGCAAAAAATAAGACAATATCTTTTTCAATGCTGTGTTAAGGTGTAGCTGGATACATTTTCACGTAGAACTTCATTTAGAAGTTGTTTTTTCTTCTTTTTTATGATTTCAATATATTACATTTCAAAGCAAGGTTGTTTGAACTTTTTTTTGTATTTTCTGTAAGTATTATAATAAATTAATATATAAAATAATATGTACATATAAATTTGATTTTTTTTATTTATTCGTATTTTAGGTCAATATGATGAAGAATCCATTCTACAATCTGTCCACTGTCGGAAGTGGGGAGAGCGTCTTTATTTATCCGCTGGACGGCTCGGTCACTCTCCTTGGGTCGGGTACCAAAGACTTGGTGGTTCATCGTCTCCGCCCGCCACCAGGGGGCGTTAAGACCAAACATGTCGCCTACCACGGAGTGATGAAGTATAAAAGCCCAGACGAAACGAAGGAGGAAAAACAGCGGAAAGGGATTCTGAAGAATTCTTCAGGAAATCAGTTAGATGGACGCGAGGGGGCATCTCAAAAACTTGACGTGTCTAAGATTCAGTGTGTTTTAAAGAAAAGGAAAACCTCTGCAAATGAGAAACAATCAAATAGCTCATATAGTTCTAAGAGTCAGAAGAAAGTGAAATTTGATGACAAACTTAATAAACTGACTGAACTAGGTATAAAGTATAAAGCTATGGATCCAGACATGCGCAGTCATCCTGGCGATGTATCCCACATCCGGCGACAGCATCAAATTCAGCGAATTCCGGTCAAGTCTTGTCAAACTTCAGAGGTATTACATGATCAGGAGAAAACATCGATGAAAATTTCGGATATTTACGACTTAAAAGATTCCCATGAAAATAGGACTGTATCTCCAAGGTCGCTGTCAAAATCTACATCAACCAACAGCGGAAGTTTACATCGCCGTACGTCAGGGGACTCGTATCCGCTTATTGAGACTGATGCCGAGGATTTTGTGCGGATGGATGTTTGTGAAGACGGAGTAATTCCAACCTACAACCCGCGTGAATCAACTTATCAAGGGGATCGTGATTCAAGGAGTGGGGGAGATATGACGGATTATAGTAACAGGCTAATTGAAAATGGAATCCCCGTATTTACTAAGACTGGGAAGTTTGTTAGGACAACTAAACTCAATAACTATTTTCGTGAGAAAAAATGTGAAGGTGAAACTGACGATAGTATGAAGCCAGACAAACCGAATTATCGTCTGCCTTTAGAATCAAACCGGAAAGACAAATCAAATTCGAACCCAAGAGAAATCAGAAGAGTGTCGTCTGCTCAGAAGTCTTCCATGAAAACAACGACAAACAGTACTAGTGGTGCTAAAATTACGCGGTCAAGCGTGAAGCCGTTCATGTTTACTCGTTACAGTAAAGACCAGGGCCCTCCCCCCTCATCTCATCCAGACATGAACAACAATAAAAACTTCTGTGATGATTTCAAGACTTATGATATCATAAGATGGCTAACCAGTGTCAAAGAGGTTCAGTCAAAAGAGGGTTTCTCGAGCTTCCCAATCGAACACGGTGCACGTCAGTAAACCTTAAAACTTCATGTGTCAGATCAAGTGAATATGGTGCACTTGAAAACTTCTTAGCCCTGAATGTGACTGATAGTTAAATTTCAGTATTATATTTGCAACCCGGGTGCTTCTTAAGTGTCTCAGTTTTGTAATAAGTTATGGTCAGTTGTTTTTTGTGCTTTTTTGTTTTCGTTTTGTGCACTGATTGTATTTTTGACAATTGTTTATCTTATGTAGGTACTACTACATGTATACTAGTTCACATCCTGCTAGTATAAGTTCAATGTGTATTTTAAATTTGTTTTCAATAATTCATTCCATCTCTTGTAATTCGGTGCAAAATGAATCGTCTTTTGCCAAGAAACTTTCGAAACCTGATCACGTATTTTCCCTCTTTGTATTTTGTTTCGTTCAAAGAATGGGCATCAAGCACTGAATTCCCCCTCCTCATTTTCCCTCCCAGATGTTGTTTAAAGATATTCTGTCCAACTCTGTTATCCTTTTGTAAAGGACTAACTCATATTTATTGTTGGGTTTCTGAAACGCCATGGAATTTGGAAATTTTCATGTATTTACAATGTAATTACACGGAATTAACTTTTTTACTATATTAGACATACATGTGCCACCTTATTTAGAAAGGAAAAGACGAACTAAATTAGGTGTGGTTTTTACTGAATGAGGAATCGTTGTTCTTAATTTTTCGTTTAGAAGGACGCGATTGACGTTTGTAACAAGTACACCGGTCACATGATCAAGTACACCGTTTCAAGGTCGACGAACTGCTCTGTTTCTCTCTTCTCGATTTGTTTCTTTCTGTCAAATTTTCGTTAACTCGAGAAGTTAGAACGATAACGGGCATGCACTTGTAAACATAGGATATCTTTTCCCCCTTCTCTCATTTATACGGAGAGAAAGAGAGAGAAGGAGAAAAACTGGGAGGGAATGATTCTCGTTTGATATCACACAAGGACACTCTTGTATAAACAAATTATGAAATTGAAATGATCTGTATTTTGACAAAATTTCAATCCTATTGTAAAGTATGCAATTACTGTACCTGAGATTTAAATAGATTATAATTAGCTTAAGCTCATTAACACATTGAAAGATTAGTTTAGATTAACAGGCCCCACATGTTATAAAGCGGTTGATGTAGCAGTAATATCTGTTTCTGATATATTTATGGACTGATATAAATGGTTGTTTTATTATACTATGTTGATAGTTAATGTTAAATTATTACTGTTATCAGTTTTTATGAATTATGTTAAAAAATTAGTCTCATCACTCTTCCATTAAATATGTTGTCATGCATCTTTCTTCCATTTTTTGTCCTCATTTCATTCAAGAGAAGTTAATCTTTTTTTTTTTTTTTTTTTGCTTTTGTTTTTATTATCTGTAGATACATGTATGAAGATGAAAAATACAAACTTTGACCATGATTGAGACAAACTGATCACAAAATGATAAAAGATCTGCATTCATAAAATTCATATAAACTTTTGTATTTAATAATTTAGTATTAGAATATCCAATAAAGAACCTCCCCAGTATTACTTTCAGGAAAGAATATTAATTAATTTGCCTTTAATGAAAGGTAAGTGTGTACTCTTTAAGAGGTTAATCTAGATCTGGTTATGTGTTAATAACAATATTGCTAAAAACTAAAAATTTCTTGTAATTGCACTAACAAACCGGATACACCCCTCAGATAGTATTTGTTAACGATGCCTTTCTTTCAACATAAGCGGATCAGATATATATACCTGCAGAAAATAGACGAGGGGTGGAAATTGGCATTGTTTGATTACATTCAATGACTAATAAACGTTTGAGGTATAAGTAAATAAAATTTATTACCCTCCCCCCTCTTAGGCCTTGCATAGACAAAAGGAGCATTTCTTGGGGTGAGAAGCTCGACATAACATTGCTATTCAGCTTGGTATACAATTTGCGAAAATTACCCCCAATTCACGCAAATATAAAATCCGCTTTATATCTATAGTCTTAAAAAGCGTGTTGTTTGTTCTGATTAAGGTAAGTCAGGGCTTTCAAAAATTTCTGGCAATCAAATGGAAAATTATAGAATACAAATAAAAATTATAGAATACAAATAAAAATTATAGAATACAAATGGAAAATTATAGAATACAAATAAAAATTATATAGAATACAAAATGGAAAATTATAGAATACAAATAAAAATTATATAATACAAATGGAAAATTATAGAATACAAATAAAAATTATACCATACAAATAAAAATTATAGAATACAAATGGAAAATTATAGAATACAAATGGAAAGTTATAGAATACAAATAAAAATTATACAACACAAAAAAAATTATACAATACAAATAAAAAATTGTACAATACAAATAAAAAATTATACTATACAAATGGAGAATTATTGAATACAATTAAAAATTTACAATGCAAATGAAAAAATATAGAATATAAATGGAAATTATACAATACAAATGAAAAGTAATAAAATTGATATAGATAATATACTATATGGTGCTGAATCCTTATGTTTAGAAGACAACTTTTCATTTTTTGATCATGTACATACCTTAATAAGAAACTCAAAGAGGTTTTCACTGAAATCATAGTTTATCATGATATGCTAGGAAGAATAATATCTCATTTTAGGTATGTTAAGGAAATTTCTCAACTCTGAGTCAACTTTATTATGTTTTTTTATGGTCTCTCTCTCTCTCTCTCTGTGGATTCACTTTATACATGTACCAATTAATGGTTTATCTTACCTACTGCTTTTCAATGTTAAATGTACCAATAATTGTTATATGTACCTTGACCTATGGAGAGAACGATTATAGGCAATATGCCTGCTGTTCAATCCATTTCAATTGTAATGAATAAATATATTTTAAACTAAAAGTAATAAAATACAAATGGAAAATTATACAATGCAAATGGAAAAGATCGAATTTTGCAACATTTGACATGCCATAGTAATGTGTCTTTCACCTATATTCAAAGATAGTCGGGTTATAAAATCCAAACCGGATGCAAAAAAACCACGGCATTACTTTAATGTAATAATACATATTGGTACTTTTTTTCGTTGTTATATTCTAGGAATAAAAAATATAGTTTTCAATTAATATTTTTAAAACAAATTTTAACACATTCATTCAACAGGCTTTGCCAAAAAATAAAGATATATTTAAGAAGTCAAGATAATATTTACATTGTTTTTAATTCGCCTAAAAATCGCAGATTTTGACCAATATCTCAAAATTTACATCACTGGTCCCAACTTTTTCTTTCATTATTTTGAATTTCACGATACTTTAAACCAATCGGCACTTAAGTCATAAAAAAACTCGATATTAGAAAACATTTTATTGCTTATTAAATTTTTAATACCCCAAAGTATGATATTTTTTATTGCGAAAAAGGTAACACAACAATTTACATGCATTAATTTGCAGTATTTTTTCAACAATAAATATCATTCAATTTATTTTACATAAAATAAGATTATATGTATTGCTATGATTACATTTGGTAAAATATGATAAAGATTAAGTGATTAACCTGACAGTTACAATTTAAGTGCAAAAAGGTCAGGTTAATTGTACCGTCTCTCAATAAGACTCACAACCCCTAATTTTCTTTGCGATTTTGAGTCATGCTATATGAGTAGTAATCTAAAATATACTTCTCAATAAATCCTTGAAATAATACGTTTCACGAGTGATATACCTTAAGAAAAGTGTAAAGTGAAATCCATGTTACTTCCGAGATAATAATTTGTTATAGTATTTCTTCACATTTTTAGATAAATGTAAATTAAAAGTCTATCAGGAGATTGATTTCTCCAACAATTGACATGTAGTTAAAATATCTTTAACACAATTCAACCATTTGGAATGATAAACATCAGCAACATCAAGTTTATAATACCATAAAGTGTTCGAGAAATTTTCTCTTGTTTTCCTGTAAAAATTCTTTCCCAAAAACCAATTATTCTTGCTTTTATAGAGATTGACATTGGTATTCTCCCAAGTACAATTTGGGGTGCACTTTCATCGATACTTAATATGGCAAAGGGATCAGAGTTGCCTCCCGTAGTTTATGAATCGATACAATATTTACACGCACTGTGTCATGTGAAATATTGAATGTTTACATTGTTTGAACCCTGTATTCATTGTGGATTTTAATCATGAAACTTAACACATTGCTTTTCATGTTTAGCTGAGAAAAACAACAAAGAAAGAAAAAAAATCTAATTTCTAACTTGCTTTACACGCTTAGTTTCTAAATACTTACACCAATCTTTCTGACAAGCGGAAAAACCTTCCGAGCTTGCCGGAAAGGCCAGAGAAAATGCGATTGCACTCACATTTGAATATGATTACGCTACTTTTAAGAATTTTTTTTTAAATGAATGTATTTAAATGAAAAAAAAAACAAAAAAAAAAAAAACAAAAAAAAACAAACAAACAAAAAAACAAACAAACAAACAAACAAAAACAAATGAATTCTTTTTTTTTCTTTAAAAATCGATTAATATTATTTCAATTCAAACTGACCTGACATTTTGAATTTAGTAAGAAGTCACTGCCAAGAAGTAAAAAGGAAACATTGATGCAATGTAATTTGTTCTTCTGCTCATAATGTATAAGTCGCCCGCGTGGCGCAGTGGTTAGAGCGTTCGCTCTAGAGCTGCGGAGTAAGGAGTTGATCCTTACGTCGCGGGTTCGAATCCCACTGTGGGACGTGGAGACCGGTCCTTCGGATGAGACCGTATAAACCGAGGTCCCGTGTAGGTGTGGCACGAAAACGACCTCTCACTGCTCAATGGCCCTAAGTGCCGAGTAGAGGTCAAAAAATTTGCAGCTCTCCACCGGCAAGTGGTGGCGTCTCCATATGAGTGAAAAATTCTCGAGAGGGACATTAAACAATAGACAAACATAAACATAATATATAAATATATAACATAGTATATTAATAAACATAAAACATGGGAAATTATTAAATATCATACCAAATTTATCATTATTCTATAATTATAGAATGAATTTCAAAACTGCAAAATATTCAAACATAAGAAAACAGCGACACTGACGTACACCTCTTCCTCATACACATGCGTGCTTTATTTCTCAAAACTCTTTCTCTAGATTTCTAGTAAAGGCACAGTGCAGTGCGTACCATGTTTGATGAAGGTGACGGAATCAGCCGAGATTTGCCGAATGAAATTGATAGTTGAACATTCTGATGGTGGATCGATGGGCGCGTTAGCCGAATGATACTTTTTATACATTTTTAATTTTTTAAACATCAACCTAATATTTCGCAATTTTCTCAATTTCACACAAATTTTCTAAACGTATAATGCGTCTTTTGCACAATGTTAGGATGGCAATAAACAAACTTAAGGCTTTGAAATGAATACCCGTTCTCGATTTACTATACAAATTCTCGAATGACGAATAACTTCGCTCTTCGTATTATATACATGTACACGAATTTCAGCGCTAAAACTTGAATTTATCAGTTGATGTGATATGAAAAACCATGCTTATTAAATCTGAATCTTCAGTTTTCAGTTCACATTTCAACGGGTCCTTCAATGGACTTGTTCTTTCTTAACTAAGCAGTTTTACAAGGGAGTACATTCTTTTCGTTATTAGTTTTTCTTTCTTTGAATTTTTTCTACACTTTGATCGTTCATTAATCTTTTTTATGTTTCACATGCACATAGTATCATTATAAGAAACAATAGATTGCAATTTAATTTGCTAAATTCATTCAATCTGACTTATTAAATCTCATATGTTATTTTCAAATCTAAATTCAACGAAGATTGTACGCGGACTTTAAAAATCAGCTTAATTTTCATTCCCAAAATGTGGTACAATGCCAGTATAATATTGACATACACACATTTTTACGTCATGAGGTTCGACTTAAAAGTTTCATTAATTTAAAACAAATCCCGGCTGTTTGCTGAATGCGATAGCCCCTGCAGTGGAGAACGAGAGAAATACACACATCAAAATTTATTTAATCGGGGTATTGGGGGGATTACGACCCCGCTATACATTTGTATGGCTCTATTATCGCTGAAATTCAAACCACTCAAACAACAGTCCGACATTGGTATACATTTCAACTGGTTCTGGAAACCTTAACGATATGTTATCGCTTTCTAGTTACTTGTTCTTTCTTTCATACACTGTTTGTAACTCTGAGATTAGGAGAAAATAAATGAAAATGTGAATTTTTTGAGGTCATGTTGCTGGGTGAGGGGTAACGATCTATTGACTGGAATTGTAAGTCGTCAGTGTTTCATATAAGTGCGCTTTTGATTACTACTGACAGAGGAAAGTCGGACCAAAGCCAACCGATTGAGAGACAGGCACGATTTTTAAGAAGTATGATGTCGACAAATTAAAGATATCCACAACATCTGTATATTAAAGGTAGGAATTGATATTTATTGATGGTGCTATCAAATATTTTATATGTACAGCTATTTACTCAAATGTAACATATAATTATTATATCTTTGTTGCTTTTGTTTTCTATAAGAAATGAGTGTCAATGGAAACTTAAGACAAACAGTTAGTTTAATGTCTCGAGAGAAAATATTTAATGTTGAAAGTACGTGACATTTCAGGTGTTAGAGTAAATCTCTCAAGAAATTGTCAAATTTCTCTGGGGTTTCCAATAACACTTGAAAAAATTCTAAAAAGAAAAATCTGCTGTATTATCCAACACAAAAAAAAAGCGAAAGTAAATTATTTGCTATCGTGTGTACATAATTTTGTCTCTCAGGGTAAAAATGTAGCTCATTTGTCAATAATTTTGAAAGGATATTTAACTAGAGTAAACAAAAATTTGTATTGGAAGATCTGGTAATAGATCAATCAGGGACATGGCGCTCATCAATCTGGGATAATTACAATGTCGGGGCTGTCACTGGAGCGATAGATACACTTAAATCGTCTTGTCCTTCCAAGATGGAGACGGCCGCTGGACGCCGTGATTATATCTTTTTCAAGTATTCGCCGTTCATGATATACCCCTATACGTGTGAGTACATGTAGATAATAACTAACTAAACTATTATTCCAAATTGGACATTGTTTTATTGAGTAAAATTATTGAGGAAATGATTTTTTTTATATCCTTTTTTCTATTTTTATGTAAAAAACATTTTCGTTTCAATGTAAAGACTACTGAAAACGATATAAACGCTAGGCATGCTATAGCTAAGTGGCATTGTCCCTCACTGATCTAGAATAAATTAACAGTCCTGAAATTAAAGGCTTGGTCATATAGCATTGATGAATTAGTCCTGAAAATATTATACATGGATTTACATGTATTTGAGATTTTTTATACAAAGGAACCCTTGTCTTGATATACTTGATCTTTATGATTACTCAAAGGTATGGAATGAGCAAGTTAATATCGAATACATGTAGTTAAAAACAGTACCGTAGTTAAACAACGTCTTCAAGATCAGTACATTTACAGAAATGGCAAAGTGACAACCGCGATTCGCCTTAAAGTCAGATATCATCAAAACAAAATTTGGGATTTGAAAAATATATAATTTAATTCTGGTTGTAACGCTGTATTTGACTGGATAAAAAATTACTTTATATCATATAAAATGGGTTGCCTATATGTATGTCACAATGACTTACAAGTCTTTGTGACATAGGCAACCCATTTTATACGATATAAAGTAAATTTTTTATCCAAACGTATCGATCCGCCTGACGTTACATTTCAAATTTTGTACAAATTGAAGTCATTTTTTAAGAACAATCATCTTTTTTTCTTACACTAATTGAATGAAAATTAAATTATAAGGAATGAAATTAATAGCTACCCAATTTATACGGTATAATCTGAGTTGGAACAGTTTACGCTTTTTTTATAAACAGTTTCGCAGTTTATAAAGCGTAAACTGACCCAACCCAGTTTATACCGTATAAAATTAGTAGCTATTAAATTCATTCCTTAATTAAAAATACTTGTTATAAATTTTAACTAAGAACAATATCACTCAAATTTAGAACACCATATCATCGTCTCCCATTGGAAACTTGGAGATGGTGTGGAATACAGAGAGAGAGAGAGAGAGAGAGAGAGAGAGAGAGAGAGAGAGAATCCGCCATATCTGAAGGGACAATTAGCTTACAATTGTACCACTTTCTTCTAGGTTAGAGTGTTAGGCCTCTACAGAATGTCCCAAAATATGTACTTAAATAACTTTGTAATAGATCCTTTTTTTTAAATACGAAGTTGCAAAATTATTTTCAACTTGTGACTCCAATATTTGATTTTAATAGAGACGCTGTTGATCTATCGAGATACTGTAATGGTACTTTTTTTCCATGGGGTCATAATTCCGCAGAATCACATTTTCTGTTCAATCCGCGGGTAGAAAATTATGCGGATTTTTGAGATTTTTGTCTAAATGTACTTTAAGTACGTTGGGACAAATTTCCTCGGAAAAGTTGTGACCGCGTACTTCTATATAGCGTAAATTCATACCATTCCCCACCCCCACATACCCCTACCGGGGGTGGGGTAAAAAGATCAACCTGTAGAAAAAATAGGTATTAAAGGGGAGAAAAAAGTTACAGAGAACAAATTAAGTCCCAGAGTTTTTAAAGATCACAAAGGTAAATGTATATAAAAAATAACAATGAATAGTTCATAATGCGCCAATTGCAAAAATTTAATGCAATTCATATAGTTAAATTCTCCAAATGTTTACATAGGCGACAAATGGCGGACTTATGGAAACAAAGGACGGGTACTTGTTGTGTTGATTAAAGTCCCGTGTTTTACGTTAATCCTCTTTATCCTTATTGAGTATTTAAAGACGTTAGACCAATAGAGTATCTGAAACTATAAACAATGGTGTAGATACACAGGCGTGAGAGACAGATAGCGGCCCCCTAATGGAGTATCCACTTAAAGTTTTATTTTACTAGGATTCTTTTTACAGAGGGAGAGGGGATTTTTGTTTTATCGAGTGTACATAAACATAAAAAAAATGGATTTCGTTGTATTTGAAAAAGGTAAGAAAATAAGATTATTAAAAGCACTCATCATTTTGATGACAAGTAACTTAACTGGAAGGACCTTTAATTTATTTTCGTCAATTATAAAAGTAGCTTTCACTTTATTATTATTATTATTATTATTATTATATCATGCTTAAATAATTTTCAGGGATGGTGGGAATGGCCGGCGAATTCTTGTAGAACTTGCCAATTGTTTTGAAACTTGCCAAAATATGCATGCACTGAATATGATTAGTATCAAAGTAATGCGATAAAGAACAAACTTCAACTTATTTGTGCATGTAGCAGACGTAATAAAAAACATGAATCCCTTTTCTAATTACATATATTTAGACTAGTAAGATAGATCACTGCTAAATAAACAAAATCACTTATATACAATTCATAATAACTCCCTTTAAAGTAGAATTTTGACAAGAGAGGCTCCTTTTTTGATCATTCGTCCTTTCATTCGATACATGAAGAATTTTATTAATTTTTACATTTTTTTTCGAAAGAGTAGACCCTCAGCTAAAACCAACTCAAAACAAAAACAAATTCAAACAGAAATATGCTGTTTATATGTCACTTAATCATTGTGCACTCGAGAAGAATTATTAAACCAGTTATTCAATGTATAAAATGATCCCAGAAAAAACAAAGAACTTGCTTTAAGTAACCATAACGTCTGCCTTTTTACGACAAATCAATGCAATATCTGCTGTTTTATCTTAAATTCAATAGCCCAGAAAAACTTTTACGGGTATTTTATGAGAAGGTAGTGGGGTTTTATATTCAGTCTGTACTTGATTAATGCTAGTTGCTTTATTGGAAAGATATATCAAATATCACCTTAAACACTGGTTTATTCTCTCTCTCTCTCAAATAGCGATTCATATGACTCTATATTATATAGTGAAATTAAAAAAAAGATATTTATTTCTGTTCTTTTATAGATATGTCAACAACTTGCTGGTCACTGTGGCAACGGATGCCGCCACGTTATCAACTGACTTCTAGAAGGGAAGAAATAGAAAACCCGGAGGGGGAGCGGTGTAGAACGCCAGGACCAACACCCCGACCCAAGCGGGGGACGCGGGGAGGGGGAACCACCAGTACAATGAGAAGCGCCAGTTTCACAGAAATCCCCCCGAGGAATAGCAAAAGCATTCAAGGAAGTGGTAGACGATTTCAGTTTCCGAACAGGAAGTCTGGTTACATAGACCACTTTAAAACTCAACAACGTGTGAATTCTGCAAAAGTGAAATTTTCGTCAAATCCTCCTATTTCTCCCTACTCTCCACGTGAGAGAGCATCCACAGCTCCACAATTTCCCGTCACAAAATTAGATAGTCCAGCATCTGGACAGGAAATATCCACACCAAATCTTCACGATATCTGCAGTGAGCACAAAGCCACAGGGGGACGAATTCGAACTCCTACCGGTCGTCAAAGAGAGGCTAGCATGGATCTTGAGGATGCGTCATCACTGCTCGTAGACAACAAGTCATTTTTAAGAGATACGTCACAGAGACGCTTCAATGTTCGTGAAACTGCGGAGGGTACCATGTATATTGATAATGGAAAAGTGTTCTTCATAAAGAGGTCTAGAAACGACCCAACAAATCTACTGAAATCACGAACAACCGACGGCGGCTTTCTTGCAAGTATACGAAAAGATTACCTCAAGAAGCCAAAATATATTGCCATTAAAGGCGAAAGATTGGAACAGGACGAGAGTCCCGCACTGCAGCACGAACGAGTTTACTACAACCAAAAAGTCGGTCATATCCTCGACTATTACTCTCGGGATGATGAGGATCGACTATCGATTGATGATCTCGCCAAGTACACAAGATCTTCGCCCCGCTCAACATTGTCGCGAAGTGTTTCTCCAAGATCCTCAAAAGTTAGGAAATTGTACTTTGCCCCAGATCAGGAGGAGCTTAGCCCTCGCCGGTCACCTGATATGCTGGAGGATCCAAATATTAATTCATACATGAAAGTAAACTTTCAATCAAAACTGTATGATCGAAAGTTTTATTTACGAACACCTGCTAAAACCGACTTGCACAGCCTGTCTACAGCAGATATTGATAATTGTAAATGTGGAATATGTAAAATTGAAATGCAACTTTCTTTGATGGAAAAACTCGGAATAAGCTACCCACTATCAAAGTTTCAAAACCAGCAAGTGGATGCTCAGAAGCAGACGAATCAGGGCACACCTACGCAGACGATACCAGACGCGAGGCGGGAAACGGACAATGAGATCAAATCACGTCAGAAAGAAGAGTCGTCACGTGCGAAAACAGCGGAAGGACTTCCGGAAACTAATAGACAACACGAAAACAGTTCAATTACGGTAACAGTTCCCGCCATGGAAAGGGAGGGTACTCTGTCAGAATCGGTTATAGATACCTCTAGAACTCAACAACCCACACCTCTCCCGTAAAGATACGTACTCCTGAAGGCGCATTGTTTAAATCGTTTACTGATTTTTTTTTACCGAAAAGTTTCAGAAAAAATTGGATCCCATGCCTTTTTATGCACATTTACCGCGATCAAAAAAGGGTTTAAAATACGCATCAACGATTACATTGATCATATTGCAAAATCAGCTGTTGTCTAAGAAAGTTTAAAGATAAAAACATGTACAATTGCAGCTGATTACGGTCAGGGTATCCTTTTTAACACACACGGTAAGGGAATCTTGCGAAACGTTTTCCCAGGAGAGGAGTAAAATGAAGTTCCTCTAAGATTGACTTACTCTAGTTCCCTGTATTGTTACACGATGATATTACTATAGTGCTAGGTCTACCTGCTGTTCTTCCTTTGTTGCATTGTTATCTGGTTAAAGATAAAAATCAAATGAAATGTGTGTGTCTTATCAATTAGAAAAAAGAGTTGTTAAGTCAACCATACACAAGACTTAGTACAACCTTGCAACAATATTAATTTTGAAAATTGAAAAAAAAATGCAATCTAAAACTATCGTTACAGGTAACAGAGAAAATATTGAGCATTGAATGGGCTTTCTTTTCATTGCACTTTGTTATATAAACAAATAAGAACTGAATTGGTGCATTATGGAATTTTTACAATGCGAATGTCTGTATGTCTATTACCGTTTAAATCCACACTCTTTACACTTTCATTTTAATCTTTATCCATTTCATACTTAAAAGATGCATACTAGCCTTTTAAAATTTTGAAAACGAGACTTTTACTGCGATTTTTAATCTTTTTTTTTTTTAATATGCAATTAAAATTTTTCGCAAGAAATAATCTCAGGAGAAACAAGAGGTAACGTTCTTTGTAAAACTAAGTTCAAACTCTGCTGTGCTTACAGATTCTTTCAATATGTCCAGAAATCAAATCAAATTTTAGAATCGTGTTTTTCAAAGTTTGATTTTTAGTATTCCCCACTTGAAGACAGTCGCGTTTACTTGCCTGATGTTGTATCACAATTTGATTTTACTACAGTTTATTATGTACAAAATCTCATTGCAATTATGGATTCATTCAAACTGTAGCTTTGTTGTCCATTATGCCGAAAACTGCTTAGCCCAGAGCACTATATTTAGGAACTGCAAGAAAATCTTCAGTTCACAGAACATTGTGATTATTTACAGTGCAGCTAGAAACAAGATGTGTTTGTGAAACACTGATGCCCCCGTATAGCAGCTTATGGCGAAGGTTGAAGTTTTCAAATGCAAGTCAAACTCCATGTCAAGAGATCAAAAATGTTGGTATCCAAAGAAAGGTCTTGTATCGAGGATATACCTGTGAAAAATGAAAGCCTTAGCACCAACCGTTGAAAAGTTATGGCGAAGGTTAAACATTTTTAAAAGTAAGCAAAACCTCAAGGTCAAGGTCAAATGGTGCCCAAGGGAAGGTCTTGATACACATTTCGTGAAATGTGAAAGCCCTAGAACTAAACGTTCAAATGTGATAGCCAAGGTTAAAGTTTTTTAAATGTAGGTCAAACTCCAAGGTCAATGCCAAAATTGTTGGCATCCAAAAGAGGGAATTCTCACAAGAAATATACATGTGAAGTAGGAAAGCTCCATCACAAACTGTTCAAAAGTTAAACCAAGATTAAAAGTTTTTCAAAATGAAAGTAGGTCAAACTCCAAGGTCAAGGTCAAAATGTCAAAGTTGTTGATATCAAAAGAAGGGTCTTGTCACAAGAAATATACCTGTGAAGTATGAAAGCTCTAGCACCAACAGTTCAAAAGTTATGGCCAAGGTTTAATTTTTTTTTAAAAGTAGGTCAAACTCCAAGATTAAGGTTAAAGGGTCAAAGATTTTAGTATCCAAGAAAGGCCTTGTCACAAGGAATACACGTGTGAAGTTTAAAAGTCCAAACATTAACTGTTTAAAAGTTTTGGGCAAGGTTAAAGTTTTTCAAAAGTAGGTAAAACTCCAAGGTCAAGATTAAAGGGTCAAAGTTGTTGGTATACAAAGGAAGGTCTTGTCACAAGAATAACAAATGTGAAGTTTGAAAGCCCAAGCACCAACTGTTTAAAAGTTATGACCAAGGTTAAATTTTCATTAAAAATTGCAAAAGTGGGTCAAACTCCAAGGTCAAAGTCAAAAGGTCAAATATAATGTTGGTATTCAAGAAAGGTCTTGTTTCAAGAAAAACACATGTGAAGTTTGAAAGCTCAAACACCAATTATTCAAAAGTTATGACCAAGGTTAAAGTTTTTCAAAATCAAAGTAGGTCAAACTCCAAGGTCTAGGCAAAAAGACAAAGTTGTGTATCCACAGAAAGGCCTTGTCACAAGAAATGCACATGTAAAGAATGAAAGCCCTAGCACCAACAGTTCAAAAGTTATGGCCAAGGTTAAAGTTTTTCTCAAAACTAGGTCAAAATCCAAGGTCAAGGTCAAGGGGTCAAAATTTTTGGTATCCCATGAAAGGTCTTGTCACAAAAAATACACATGTGAAGTTTGAAAGCCCAAGCACCAACTGTTCAAAAGTTATGGCGAAGGTTAAAGTCTCATAAAATTTTGCAAAAGTGGGCCAAACTCTAAGGTCAAGGTCAAAAGGTCAAATATGATGGTACCCAAAGAAAGGTCATGTCACAAGTAACACACATTTGAAATATAAAAGCCAAAGCTCTAACCAATCAAAAGTCATGGGCAAGGCTATAGTTTTTGCGGACAAACAGACAGACAGATAGACAGACAGACAGACAGACGGACGGACAGGGCAAAAACTATATGCCCCCGAATCTTCGATTACGGGGGCATGAAAATACGATTGTATTCACAAGCGGAGGTCAAATTTAGACCCTTCTTTCGCTGTACTCTTTCTATTTTCCCAATAATTTGACTCATGGGTCTTCAATAACAGGTTAAGGTACTTAACATCCCCCCTCCCAATATTATCAACGAATTGTAAGACTACATGTTGCAATTTAATAGAAAAACTTCATTTCCGACATCCAAAAATATGGGCAACACTTCTTTCCTATACAGTAGCAGTGTTGTGAAATTTTTTTATTTAAAAGTAGCAGGGTAGATAAAAGTGAATTCCAATTTTTAATGGATTCAGTATTTTCTCCTGATTGCTTAAGTATATAAGTATGCATTTCAATGCTTGATACTGATTATTAAATAAACACACTTTATAAATGCATATCTAAATTTAATATTATCATTTGAATTAAATTTATTAAAATTATTTGTGAGAGATGTGTTAATGAATTCTGAAGAGAATATTTCAAAGTACACGCTTTTATTAACAAGGAACAGGGGCACCTGGTGTTTTGATATAATATATAACCAATATTTATAGTTCTAATAATAACTTTGAAAATTTGAATTACCTGAAATAAAAGTGTTTGTCAAATGCGCCGTAAGCTATATACCATACAAAGTATATTTCAAAGTACACAATTTTTCATCTACTTGTCATTTTGCCTACCAGGGCTTTAATAAAATAAAATTAGATAGATGCATATAGTAAATCGGGTTTCAGTTCTTTGAAATTGCATCGGGTTTGGTCTTCCTTTCACTTCAATGATAACCGACAGCGACAGGTAGACTCAAAAGTTTATCTAGAAAATTTTGCATTGACTTTAGGATCAAGGATTGAGATGGATTGTCTTTCGACATCTGATGTGCGTGCGCACAGAGAGCAAAAATAAAAATAAAAAATCTAATTTATAACTTTCACTGTAATCGATTTTAAACGAGTTTTCTTTAGTTTTCTAAACCCCAAGTTGAAACTCTTATACACATATATTATGTATATATTCAGTACCCCGCCCAAACTTCTTCTAGCAGTGGATTGATTGATTACAAAAAAATATTGTTTAAAGCCGTGTTTGTTCTGTATTTCAGCAAATTAAATCAGCGAAGTGGAAGAACCACAATTCTTCAGTATCCAACTGAGTCGTGTAAAACACCCCAGTCTGCCACTTCTTTTATCAATCATTTTGAGCTGTACCGCTAGTGACTTCTGCTATTTCCAATTTCCAGAGCATAGTTGCTCCATAACTATTAAGTTTCGTAAATAACGAAATGATAAGTCTGTATAGAACTACCTCCCTATACTATAAAATCGACATTGAAGGCCTTCAACTACCCGCCATGTTGAATTTCGTTTCGTCTCTTACTGTCTTAAATTAAGGATTTCTTGTGTCAATGGGACTGTTCATCAACATCGGATACTCTAATTTATTGAAATAAAATAATTGCAAGCAGGCAATAATCCAGCACAACTCCTCCGCAGTATGGTGTTTATCATTTTCTCTGACACCCAGGTGACGGAAAATTAACCAAGGTAGTTGTAATTAGACCTTGTTGATTTTATTGCTACATGTAGTACAGTGGAACGATAGAAACAACGTTGGTCTTTTTTTTAACCAGAGTTTGTATGCTCATAATCATGGTAGGGCATTCTGGGAAAAGATATCATGTCAGTTTCGTGGGATCTGAAAATACATATTATATGAAGTTTCGTGCCTGTGCAAAAAGTACCTGTACAGTAACTAAATAGGCCCCATTACGCCAAGACTGCAAAGATCAGTTAATTCTAAAAACTAATAATAAAAACGTGGCTTTTCTTAACTAACTTCTTGGGCCTGCGCAATTGTCCATGCATGATGACAACTCCCAATCGAAACTTCTCGGGCCTTTCCGACAAACGGAAAAACAACCTCGAATGTGTTACGTAGGCGTCCATGACAATCCCCCTTTTCATAAACTTTGAAATAAATGTAGGGAGACCTCTTATTTGTAGAGTTTGGAACCCAACTTTATTGAATGTAAAGATATTATTCCTAAAATACACTACAGGAGTTTTAACTTTGTATTTCCAATTCTTTAATAAATAGGAAGCGAATCCATCTTGAATAAATTTTTAACATCTGGTGATGTTAATATATTCGAGGTTGTTTTTCCGACCTCCGACGGAAAGACCCGAGATGATGCGATTGGA